GGAGTCAGAAGTAAATTTTCAAAGAGATTCTTGCCCCAAAACTATTCGGTTTTTCAAAGACTCTAACCACGAGGCCCAGGGAATGCACTCCCCACACATCATCCCAACCTCTTGCACGGTTATTGTCACTCCCCACTCTCTGGGTCCCAAACCCAAGCCTCTAAGGTGGGCTACAGTGGTCCGGGGCCTACAATGGGTCTCTGTTCTTCCCACTACCACCCCCTCCCCGATTGAAAAACAAATGGGTATGCCCTCCCTTTTCGGCGCGTAGCCCCCATCCGAAGGGCGGGTTCAGACACCGGCGGGCTCAGGCCCCCGCAGGTTGGCGGGAGCAGGCAAGGGCGGGCCAGAGCTGGTCCCAGAAAAGCCGAGCGCGCGCCGCGCGCCGCGCTCAAACTCGCGCCGCGACCAGCTCTAGAGTTGCGCCCCACCCTCTCCGTCACCAAAGGCACCTAGCCAATGAGCAGGCCGCAAAGGCTGGGCCTGCAGACTAAGCATGGGGAGAGGGAACAGGGGAGGGGGAAAGGAAGTCGAGGGCGGGCTAAATTTGATTGACATCCCATTCGAACCAATCCTCCGCGAGGCTTCTCTTCTTTCTCTTCTCTGCTGGGCTCAGCTTTTCGCCCCACCTCCTCCTCCTGCCCCCCCCTCCTCGTTCCCTTTCGACCCGCCCCACTTCCCCTCCCCCACTCTGCGGGCAAATCGCTGCTGGAAAGAGGCGGGGGCCAAAGCCGCGGGCTCGTGTGGAGGCTTGAGATGGGATTGACGGATTCTTGGGCCAATAAGAGCTAGACTGATGGCGCGGCTGTGGCTTGGCCCGGCCAATGGACAGGCGGGCTGGGGGCGGAGGCCCAGGTTCCAAACGCTCCGTGGCGCCATGGGCTGAAAACTCAACCGAGATGGAATCTCCCAGTCTGAACCGGTTTCAACCGGTTCCGAGTTTGAGGCTCTAGGAGGAGGGGGAGAAGCGGCTGCAGCGGCCGCGGCAGGAGCAGCGGGAGCTACAGCATCAGCAAGAGCAACAGTAGCTACAGCCCGGCGGCGGTGCCTGTTCCAGTCTTTGCTGCTGCAGTCCGTGCAACCACCCAGAGGGGGAGGGGGGAACCACCAGTCGCTGAGGAGCAGGAGAAGGGGGGAAAGTTTAGGCAAGCCTGGGTGGGGGGGGCCCAGCGCCGGAGCCGCGTGAGAGAGGGAGCCGTATTTTGGTAGGGGGGGAGTAGGACTGCAACTGGCAGCAGAGCGTCCCCCGACCGTGTGGACTGTACACCCCCTACTCCTGCCGCTCCTGCCGCCGCCTGTGGCTGGAGGGTCCCCCTGGGGCTGAATCTTTGGGACTTGACCCCGTTCCCCTCCCCCTTTCCTCACTCCCCTGCCGGGCGGGAGTATTTATTCCACAGACTAATTCCCCATCTTTTTTGGGGACGGGTGGGTGTGTGTTGGGGGGAGGTGTCCCAGAAATAGTAAATATTATTGAGCCTTTTTTTTTTTTTGCCCTTCTCGTTTTTATAATTTCCTTTTTTAAGGTGGGAAAACTGTGAAACCCACCTTGATTTCTTCCCCTCTCCCCCCTCCCCACCTTCCCTCGTCCTAATCCCCCGACAAGGAAGGAAGAAGCAGTTGGTTCAATCTCTGGGTAAGTCGACTGTTTCTTCGGGGCCGAGGGTCGGGCGGCGGCGGCCGGGTGGGAGGAGGCTGGCGTGGGGCGCGGCGGCGGCCGCGGGAAGCGAGCCCGGGAGGCGGCGGCGGGCCCGAGCGGAGCCTGCGATTGAATGGAGCCGCTTCTGCCGCTGGGGGATGGAGGCGGGGAGGCGGCCGCGCGAGGGGAGCGCTTGCTGGGTCATCCGCGTGTGCGGATGGCGGTGGAGGAAGGTAAAGAGTGTGATAGTGGAGCGGGGCCCTGAGTGGGGGTGGAAGGGCTTCCCCAGCCCGTTGGGCTGGGGAGAAGTTGGAGTGATTTCGAGAAGATCTCTGTAAATTATTAGGAGTGGAAGTTTCCAGAAATATTTAGTGCAGCAGCATTGAAACGTCCGCCTGCATCACGTGGCCCCCGCGGTGGAGAGCTTGGGATCGGAAGAAGGAGGGGCTGCCGAGTCCCTGCTTCTCCTGTAAGGAAACTCAAAAGCTTTCTTGCTTTTTGCAGAGTAGGATGAGAAGTAAGGGCAACTAGTTAATTTTAAAGGGATCTACAAACGGGGTTCGGTATTGTGGTTTCCAATATGGGAGCTGGAACGTGTTAAACGATCGGATTTAACTGTTGGCGTTATACAATGGGTGATGCCTTGATTCTCCTTCATTCCAGTGTCTTTTAAGTTTGGGGTGGGCGGGAGGAAGTGGTGTAGTAGAGGAAGCATTAAATTTTTGCCCAGCCCGGATCTCCTCCGATCACGCAGAGGCCATGCTGCATGGAGAATGGGGCGGTGAACTTCAGGCGCCTGGTCTAAATGCCTCCTCCGAGTATGGGCGGGGTGAGTGCGTGCTCCTGTATGCTATAGTTAGAAGTACTGCAAATCTGCTGGAGTGGGAAGCAAGGGGAGGGCGGGTCTTAGCGAGGTTTGTTTCTACTGAATGAAGCGGGCAATTGCCCACACCCCTAAGAGCAGTGTCTCGCCTTGTAGCAACTTGTTTTTTGACCTAGTATGAAGTTAATCATTGCAGCGGTTAGAATTTTCTGAGTTTTGGGTGGGAGCTACTAGTGTGCTGCCTCCCTATTCCGTTTGAAGTGGTAGTGAAGATATTTTGGTAGTCACTTGTATATAGAGTCGCAACTTCGTTGGAGAATCCCTTGTGTATGCTGTTTAGTGGTGAATTTTAGTATTGAAGTGGCCTAACGGTAAAAGAAAACGTTTATTATTTCTCTCCTGTCGCTATTGCTGTTTGCTATCTGCTTGTTTGTGTATCTTGAGTGTGGGACACTGCTGTTAGTAGAAAGAATGTTTGGGAAGCTGTTTGACTTGGGAGTGGGGGACTAAAAGTGCTTGGCATTGACCACAGAGCCGCCATTTCTCTACTACGTACAGTTGGAGATTAGGTAGGTCATTTTGAAGATAGCCACTAGTTCTAAGGATAGCAAACTACTGTGTGTAAACATTTGTATTCTAAACCTGATTCTGCACACGAAAGTAGTACCTCGGAGAACTCCACCTGAAAGTGAAACTTTCTGGAAGTAACTGTATTATTCCTTTGTTTTGCCTATAAAAAATTTCACAGATAAATAAATAGAAAAGTAGAAGTTCCATTTTTAATAAAAATAGAACATTTATTTTTGATACGTAGATACTGGTATTTTCTGAACATTGCTTTCTGGCCTCAATTTTTAGCATTTTTGTGACCTATAAAATTTTAAAGATGGGGGAAAATTTGCACATTTATCGTGGAATTTTATTTGTTTAGCTCTGAGACTTTTGTGGTGTATGACAAGTATTTTGCTGTTTTAGAATTGTATACTTTTTATAGAAGATCATGATGTCCTGTCAATTTTAATTGTCAGTAGTGGTGCATAACACCTAAGAAGAATAAAAAATATCCTTGAACTCTTAATTTCTAGGTTTTAAAATCATGTCTAATTTAAAAAACAGTTTAGACTAATTTGTTGTAACTTAAATTGTCTTTTAAAAACCATTCCCGTTAAAAATGTAAATTGCTCTCATCTAACGTTTTTGAACTGCTGTGAAAGAGCCAAGAAGTAACATCTTTTTCTCTATCAAGCTAGTTTGTTTAAATATAATGCAATCATTTTATTTGTCATTTCCTGATCATGGAAGGTTTTTAAGAGGGGAAGAAGTGGAGATGATCATCTGCCCTTGTTGGTTTTCAATACCCTAAACCAGGGATTCTTAACCTGGGGTTTCATGAGTGGATTTCAGGGTGTCCTGAATCTTCTGTAATTCTATGCAAAATTGGAGGGGAGTTGATTTGTTTATTATTTATTTAGAGGAGAAGGGTAAGAGCTATTGTGATCTTTTTTTGATTCTGAGGCATCTTGATCCAAAAGAGGCTAAGGACTACTGATTTAACCTGTCAAACTTAAACTTTGAAGAAAGAAAACAGAGGAAAGATTTTTTTAATGCCCGGCAACAAAAGTGTGCATGAGTGCCAGCATAGTAGAGTAGAATCCTCTTAAAAGGGTAATAGTACGTATAAACCAGTAGGTTTTAGAGAATACCTTTATTTCAGACCAAGGAATGATCTCTCTGTTAACGATATAATTTGTTTTCATTTGAAAAATAGTTGGCAAATTTTTATTTGGCCAGTGATACATATTTTTTTAAATCTTGTTTGGCATAGTGCCATAACCTACCCCCCCCAACCATGTAGTAAAGGAATTAAATGCTTGTAATACAATTTTTAACTCTTGAATTCATTGGGAGTTGGAACAGATAAGGAAGGTTTTATTGAGTGTAGAGACTAAATTTTATACAGGTTAAATAAGTGAATTGATTCTAAGATTTGTTAGGATTGTGGTTCCTGCTAATCATTGCTGCATGCTACTAATTTTTAATATCTCCTTGCCTTTTTTATCTTAAAATTTAAGATAGTATGAAATGCGGGGGGAAAGTGAGGTTTTACTTCCAGAAAAATCCTGCGGGGGGGGGGGGGACTTAAACATGTACTTGAACATAAGCACATTTCATCTGTACTTAAAATTTTGAGATTAAGACTTTGAATTGTTCCAATTTTTAGAGCCATAAAATCATAGCAATGGATTTGTGTAAAACATCACTTAGGAGGTATCTGCTTGTGTGTTAGTGGAGAAAGAACAGTAAAATTTTGAATAGCGCTACTGTATACATTAGAAAAGTTGCACAGACCCTAATAGTTCTACAGTTATGGAGTAGCTAAGTAATTTCAGCTTTTGTTATTTGGTTTTACTATCTCAGTTGGTTTGTAATAACTAGGTAAAGCCTCTATTATCATAATATTTTGGGGAACATGGTTGAAGAAAAATAAGAGTTTTTGACCAATCAAATCAATGTTGTGTTTTTTTTTTTCCCCAGTAATCTATGCCAGCAATTATGACAATGTTAGCAGACCATGCAGCTCGTCAGCTGCTTGATTTCAGCCAAAAATTGGATATCAACCTTTTAGACAGTGTGGTGAATTGCTTATACCATGGAGAAGGAGCCCAGGTAAAGTAGCTGACCAAAACTTTTTATAACATTACTGTCATACAATACAGTTGTTGGATTTAGAATAAAATTTAAAATTATCTGTAGTTTGTGTTAATGTTGGAATTACATATTAACTGTAATGAGAATTGTTCTGGAGAAAGAAATGGCATTATGTTTTGACATGGTTAGAGTGGGATGTTGTAGGGTATTATTACTTATTTTGTTCTTAATCTCAAGAAGATTTATAACATTCAATAAAAGGTAGAACCCAGTGTATAAAATGTTTTACCAATATTAAAGGCTATATACACCTTAATAAATATTTAAATTTGGGGTGACATTTTTCTATTTTTGAAACATTTAAATTACAGAAATGCTTCAGATATAAAAAGCCCAACAATACTGAGCATCTTGTGTCACTTGAGTTAGTTAATGATACATGTCAGAAAAAAAACTGGACAGTCCTGAACCTTCACCTGGTAGAAGGTATTTCAATGGGCAAAAAGTCTGTTGCAGAGTCAGAATCTTTTTTTGATGATATGACATACATCTACTAGTGCAGTTTTGTTGCCAAATCACTGTGTTCCTGGTTAGATAATGCTCACTTAGTACATCCCAAGTTATGTTGTCAAGGTACTATTTTATTTTTGTATAATTTTAAAAACCTGAATACTGTCATGTTTCTAGAAACCTTAAAGATGGATATGATAGATATTTTTTATAGATAGACCAAAATTTATAATATATATAAATAACTTCCATTTTTTTGTGAAATACAACAATACAGATTTCACTGTGGCGAAAAAAAAAAATTAAAAAGGAACAGAGCCATGGAAGTTTAACTAGGAAAAATTAGTCTGCAATGATTTATGAAAACTTGTTACTCCCAGGAGATTTTTGCCAGGATGTGCCTGTCTCCAAAAAAGTTGTTCCATCGGTACTTATTATTCATAACATGTAGTTGTTTCCTCATGTTGTGCATTGAACATGGACCTTTAAGCATCATTTTTTCCTAACACAGGTGGAACTGCTTTTGGAAGAAGGTATACATACAAGTAAGGTTGAAATGCATGAAGCAAGGTTGGGCTCAACTTTGAATGATATATTATTAGAAGCACTTTTGACATCATTCAGCTACTACTACTGTTTAATCTTAACTCATTTAAAGTTGACTTAGAAAAGCTTTTCTAAGTATTTCTATTTATAAAGCTTAATGTTCCCCAAGGTGGTTTTTTTGTGACAGTTACATAAAGATAATCATAGACTGATGTTTGTTACAGATGAGGAAACAGATTTAGAGCTTAAAGACAGTTCAGAGACATTCTTGGTCTCTAAAAGTCATGTTATTAAATACCTAGTTCAGTCCACTTTTTATATACCATGTTCTTGGGGGTTCTTTCTTCAAGTGATAAGGAGTAAGAGCTATAGTATAAAATATGTTTTTAGGGTTGGATATCTTGATTCCATTAAGTTCTCTAGTAGTTGCTCTTGAGTCCCATCTGCCTTTCAAGAGATCAGGGGATTAGTGATGAGGTTTGTAAAGCACCCTGGTCAGTATGTAAAAATGATTCTGTGTAAAGCATATTTACATATGCTAAATGATATAAATTCATTTGAAATCGTTCTTTTTTTTTCCCCCTAACCTCATTAAATGGTATGATTAATTATGCTAAGTAAACTTTAAAGTTAATTGTAGGTAGCCTGCCGTTTTAAACAAGAATGCTTTGGTTAGGTAGATGCACTCTTTTGGAGAGATGAATCATGGGAGAATAGAAGGGCTGTGTATGCACAGGGAGACAGCTGGGGGCCATAAGTGCATGGGAGGGAAGGACACAGGGAAGAGGTAACTGTGGGGAGGAAGTGGGAAGAGAACTGTTGCATTGTGGGAAATTGCAATCAATATCTTGAGACAAAGTATATGTGAACTGCTGTGTGGAAAATGAATTTGCGCTGTAAACTTTGACCTAAATCGCAGCAAATTTTTTTTAAAAAAGTACAAGAATGCTTTGGAGGGAAAGAAATTACAAGAGTGACTTCTAATCTGTAGGCAAACTTTTGCCTGGATGGTTAGTATAGTAGGGTCTTTTGCATTACAACTTTAGGACTACCTTCTGTTATAATGAGCATTTTTCTATTTTTAGCCAAGTATCTAGCGGAAAAAAAAAGAAGTATGGGAAGGAATTGGATGTGTTTTCCAACATTGTGTTTTGTTAAGCGTCTTGAACTCTTTAATCTATTACTTAGCAACTAAAATGCTTTCACCATTCAGTTAGTAGCACTGGGAGATGCTGGGTTTTCTCCCTCTGGTTTTCTTTTGTGTTCTTTCCCTTTTTTAAAAACCCCTCCTGTGGTTTTAAATTAATGGAAGATTATTATGTAAGGACAGTGGGATTGGGACAAAATACAGAAGACACTGGGATGCAAATATTAAAAAGTAATTTGAGAAAATAAAATTGTAACAGGAATAAGTTTGATTTATGCAGAGATTGAAATGAATGATGATAACGTGGGATATATTTAGTGGAAAGTACTCCCTTATTATGTAGAACGCTCTTCCCTTCAAAAGACTTGACAAAATAGTGTCTTGAGCAGATAACTTTAGTAGGCTTGGATCTTTGATACACCTTGAACCCCAGATATTGTCAAGTTGATTCTGACTCAAAAGCCACCCCATGTGTGTCAGTAGAACTGTGCTCTGCAGAGTTTTGAAAGGCTGCTTTCCAAAGTAGATCATCAGGCCTTTCTTCCAAGGCACTTTCTCAGTTAACAGGTAGTACCCAAGCACATGAACCATTTGTACTACTCAGGGAGTCCAGTAATATGCCTTGTCCTTTTAATATTAACTATTTTATGTGAAAGTCAGTATGTTGTTTGCTATGGATAGCTAATTAGATATTTTCAGGGAGAGTATCAAAACATTGCTAAAATGTGCTGGCCCTAAATACAGCACTGTTCCACTTTTTGCCATTGATTGATTGATTGATTGTGATTTGGGTGAAATTTTACGAGCAAATTCACTTTCCATACAGCAGTTCACATACACTTTCTCTCATGACATTGACTACAATTTACCCCAATGCAACAGCTCCCTTCCTACTTCCTCCCATACCTTTTCCCTGTGTCCATCTCTCTATGCACTCCTGTCCCCTGAGCTGTTTTCCTGTGCATAAACAGCCCTTCTTTCTCCCATGATTGTTCTCTCCAAGGAGTGTGTATATCTACCACAGGTAAATGTTCAACACACATAGGCCTTTTTTTTTTTTTGGACATTTCTTATGTGATCTATTTACGCTTACTTAAAGCTCTTATTCCTTTAATGAAATTAATTGCAAACTGCAAATAATTATGTTTAAAGAGCTTAGCACCCCACTTAATTCTAGACCATCAGAGTAGAGAACCACTACATAATTTGAGTGTATTCTTAAAGTTGTTTTTTAAATGGTAAGTAGTATGTATTACTGATTTGCTTAAAGAATAATCATGAATTTGATACTGTATATGCTAACTGGGTGGGGGAAATAATGTTATCAAAGCCAAAATATGCATATATTTTTTTAAATTGGAATAAAAGAGCTGGGTAAAGAAGATTATGTGTTATCTGTGTCAGATAGGCTGAAATAAGGTCTTCCTTGCTTTTTTGAGGCTTTCTTATTTTTAACCCATCAAATTAAACTCTTGATTACATAAATAAGAGTCTAAGTGGAGGATAATTGACAGATTTAAAAACCATCAAGTTTTGATTTTTGCTTACAACTTGTGATGTTGTTGTTGTTGTTATTTGCCGTTGAGTCGGCCCCGACTCATAGCGACCCCTCCTTGGGTTTCCAAGGCAATATCACTACGGAAGTAGGATTGCCCAACCTTCCTTCCGAGGAGTGGCTGGTGGATTTGAACTGTCAGCCTTCTGGTTAGCAGTCAAGCGCCTTAGGCACTATGCTACCAGAGCTCCCAACAACTTGTGATAGAAATAGGTAAAAGATAATAGGAGGACACATGCAGTTAGGCTACATCATCAATAGATTTAAAAGCCTTTGGCATAATGTGTCATAAGAAAAACTATAGGGCAAACATGAAAGTTGATACATAAGTCTTCAAAATTTTTAAGTCTTAAAAATGATGTGAAGTTTACCAAAAAAATTGCAGATTCCTTTCTATCATATAGTTTCTAGAATTTAATGATCATAGAACTATATATTGGGTATGAAATTCATACACATACTATGGAAATATGGACAGGAAGAGACACACCAAATTCATGAAAGTGCCTCCAAAGAAAGAACAAAGGAAGGAAGTGGCAATGGAAAAGAACAAAAGCAACTTCCATAAATTTAGTTCTTTAATGTTAAAATGTGACATGAGTACAGCAAAATGTTAACATGTTAATTCTAGATGATGAGAACATAGTTTAATATATCTGCATTAAAAGTTTGAAAACAAAAATTTTTTTAAGCTAGGACTTAGTATATGAAATGAGTAGACTTGAAGGGAAAATGTGTTTACAATAAATTTAAACCTTTTTTAAGGGTTTTTAGGGTTTTGTATATCTACAAATATTTGAAATTTGTCATCTTATTTAGACCTAGTTTTTTATCAGTCTTCCCATGAAATAGATTTTTGTGGATAAAGTTTATTTAGAAATATCTTAGTGACTCTTATAAAGCAAAGTATTCCACTACATGTTACCTGAGTAGGTTGCTTTTTTTAAATTATGATTTGGGTGAAAATTTACAGAGCAAATTCACTTTCCATACAGCAGTTCACATACACTTTGTTTCATGACATTGACCACAATTCACCACAGTGCAACAGCTCCCCTCCCGCTTCCTCCCAACAGTCACCTCTTGCCTGTGTCCATCCCTCCATGCACCCCTGCCCCCTGAGCTGTCTCCCTGTGCATAAACAGCCCTTCTTTCTCCCATGATTGTTCAGTAGGTTGCATTTTTATATGTTGCTTTTGGTTGTAAGTGCTGAGAGCTCCTTTACTTTGGAATAGTTTTTTTGTTAGCATTGGTTGAATTAAAGTTACATTTTAAGCATATCAGGAAAACCAGATTGCTAAAATAAAACTATTCCATTTCTAAGGAATAAAATATTCACATTTTTAACTGAAATTTGAGTGATGCTTAACATTTTTATTAGTTTCTATATGTTAATAATTTCTTGAGTGTTTCTGAAAGTTGATAAAATCCTTGTCATAGGATTTTTGTCATTTTAATGAATGATTCAAAAGAACAAGTGAGCTTAAAATTCTTTTTGTGTAATATTTTAGCAAAGAATGGCTCAGGAAGTACTGACACATTTAAAGGAGCATCCTGATGCGTGGACAAGAGTTGACACAATTTTGGAATTTTCACAGAATATGAACACGAAAGTAAGCAAGTGGTGGTTTTAAAATCCATTATCTCTTCTTTTCTTCCAGTCATAAACTTTGAGGAAGGTATCTCATTTTTATAGTATTAGCATTTGTTATTTCAAATCATTTTAATATTGTTAACTTATTTCAAAATTTAGACTTGACATAGAATTAATTCTTGCAAATAGTCCTAAAAATTATGAGTGAAGTTTTGTAATTGGGACTAATACGCAAGTATGCAAAGTATCTTTTTTTGTTGTTTGTTGTTTTTTGTTTTTTTGTTTTTTCTTCTAAGAAAATGTATACAGGTCTAAGTAGCATAAATTCTGAAAGTTATTCAGACGTGAAACAATCAGGAATTATTTTGGGCAAGTAATCAATATAATCCAGGCTAGGCACCTCCAACACCAAGTTGTGTGGACAGCTTAAAACCCTACTCCATGGTACCAATGCTTTTAATGGGACAGCACTCAGTTTTTATTTGCAATTGAAAATGTAATAATCTGGGTCCTTTTTTAAGTTTGAACAGAAGGGTTGATCAAAATGTGTTTTGACTGTTTTAGGCTTGATGATTCACGCTTCTCTTTAAACTGCCTTCAAGTTATAAAATACCATGCATGGCATTCTGTTTAATACACACAAGGTTTCCTCTTGATATACATGTGTTACAACAGAAAATAGCCATGTTCACATCTGTTTCTGAAATCAGACTGTGTTAGTTAACAGTTTTAAAATATTAATTAGTTTTGACATCTTTGTAAATTTTAGGGAAAAAATACAGTCCAGAACTTCCTCAAAGTGCTAACCTTAAGTAACATAACAGTGTTTGCCTGTTTGCTTGCCTGGTAAATTTTGCTTTTTATACTGACAGACATTACTAATGTTTAAGTTGATTTATCAACAGTATTTTTAAAAACTCAAATTTGTCTTGTGAAAAATGAGATGATTAGAGGAACAGAAAGAAAGCAACAGGTAAAGAATTCTTCAATTTACATAAATTACAAATGATTTGGTGCTAAATTTATGCACTATGACATTTGGCTTTTATGCAATCATTTTTTTTTTCTTTAAAGATGTTAACACTACCTGATATTAATCATAATGTTCCATTATGTTGATTGCTTGTAATAGGAAGAAAAGGGGTGTCTTCCTGTGCAACTGACACAGCTAGGCTTTGACGGCAGGCCTCCACAAGGTCTACCCTTTTGATTCCCTTTAACTGAATTCTGTTCATCAATTGTTTTTGTTTCATGGGCGGTGGGAGGGGAAAGGGGCATTCAATGCATAAAATAAGTATTTCTAAGGGCTCAGTAGAAATTTCTACCATAGGGATCATTTTCATGCTTTTTTTTTCTCCCCCATTTAGTCTTTGCTGTTATCTGTCCCTCATCTTCATAACTCAGCAGTGGATTTCTCAAGTCTTGAGATTGATTATAAAGCACAAATACAGCTATTTAAAATGATGTTGGACTATGTATAGATACTTCTAAAACTTTGAGATTTGGCTGTCACTTCAAATTTTTGAACCAACATACTTACCTTTTCAAAGACTGTGAATTATATCTATCTCTGTTCCATGTGCACATTCTTAGTATCTAGGAGAGAAGAGGGTGGGTTTTAGGATATATGGTGATAAAATGCATTCCTTTGGCCTAACTTGTGAAAAAAAAGGCTTTGATTGAGCTGCCTGCCTTGGGAAAGAAGATTTGAAATATAGCAGATTTGAAATCTTGGCGGAAAGATTTGAAATGTGAATTATATCTTCAAGTGTTGCTACCTTTTTACAGTTGGAAAAAGGATTAGAGGTTAGTAAATAGGTAAATCAGGTAACAAAGTTAATTAGGTAACAAAGCAGTAAGGAAGAAATAAGTGACTGTAATAGGAAGGGGGAATGCCCTTCAGATAGAAAATGAACTGGAAAATTCTGGTTTAAAAAGTGAAGTTATCTTTAAAGCTATTTTTCTTATCTCCTAGTATATTTTATATGGTGGTTTTAGTCCTTTTTTTGTTTTGTTTTGTTTTTTTGTTTTGTTTTTAAGGGTTTTTTTTATTTGTTGAGAATTAGCAAGAAGGTATTCCATGTGTAAGAAGTGCATTGCTTTAATTAAAAATTTGACAATCTGATTTTATGTCTCTAAAATTGATTTCAAGAAAATTTTTAGGATAGTGGTTTTTTTGTGTGTGTATGTGTGTGGTTTTTGTTTGTTTGTCTTTTTAATTTCAGTCAATCAGAAACTTTCTTCTTTTTTGTATATTTTTACATTTTTGTTGTGAGAGACCTAGAGCTATAGAGAAGTATATTCTTCAAAATGAACAGTGTAGAAAGCTCCATTATTTATTTACTGCTGATTATGAAAGAAAAAATTAAAGGCATCAAATTTTAATTTCAGAATTTTATTTTGGACTTGTTTTTATTTTAGAAGTCTTTCTAAGGAATGTTCTGCAAATGTAGGATTTGAGTTGAAATGGCAAAATTACCTTGAAAAGTATGAAATGTTAAAAATGAAAGAAAACAGCAAAAACATTCACTGTTTGAGCACAATGTAGTTTGGGACAGTCTATATTGTGCTTTGAATAAAATGAGCATTCACATGATCCCTTTGGTTGAAATACTAATGCTCCTATTTTATTGTGTAATGACTAACCATTTTAAAGATGAACTCTTATTCTCAGCCAAAACTTGGAATGTATATGTCTATACATGAATGAGCTTACCTTTCAGGTATTATAGTGGCTTCTTCCCTAATTCTTCAGCTTGAAAAGTACCACAATAGTGTTGTCCCTTCTCTTCCTCCTGCCTGTTCACACTAATTGGTCGTGGTCATATCTTTTGAATAATAATACCTAGGGTGTTATAAATTCCTACAAACATTATTGACTATTTAGAGTGGGTAATAGGCAGGAGGGACAAAATGGCTTGAAAAGTGGTATCTATTTTTTTTAACATTTTTATATTTTTAGTTATAACTTTTATATTTTGGAAGGAATACCTGAAAGGTAGACACAGATTGCAACATGCATTTGTGTATTGTTTTGACTGTGCACAAAAGTTTATCTTTAAATTAGTAGAAATAGCAACTATAAGGGTGGGGTTAAAATTTAAAGTAAACCCATGGGTTGTCTTGCTGCTCCTTAAGTAACACACCAGTGATGCTTGTAAACATTTTATATGCAAAGTATCTGTGATAATACTTTAATACTTGGCCAAAAAGCTTACAACTGCTAGAGGTTGGTAGGAAGCTTGATAGTATCCAAGCTGCTAAATTCTTAGGAGCCTGGTCGTGTTAAAGTACGTGAGCCTATAAGCAGTCATTTATGCTGTGAATTCGTATCTGGCTGCTACTTTTTCTTCTACAGATAAGCTCATTTGGCTGCCAAAGGGCTTTTTATTTGTTTTTTCTTCCTGGTGTGAGCATGTATAACAGCAGGACGTTTATATAGAGTAGTTAAACAGTAAAAGGAGGAAAATGCATGAAAACTCAGTATATGGGTGAATAGATCCTTGTTTAATATATGTAATTAAACTTGGTAGCATAATGTTTTTGAAACTTTAGATGTATATGTGTGAATGTTTGTCCGTTTGTGAATCCTGAAATTTGCCAATCCTATAGCAATATATTCACATGCCTCTATTCTCCAATTTTCAGTATTATGGACTACAAATTTTGGAAAATGTGATAAAAACAAGGTGGAAGATACTTCCCAGGAACCAGTGTGAAGGTAGGAAAATGTTTTAAAGAATTGTAGATTCAGAATTCCATTATTACTGGCATTTTTTATCATAGTTGAGTATTTTCAGGAGCAGGAATAAATTGAGTTTCTAGTAGTTTATTATGCTCTCATGGAGCTTACTGCTTTCATCATGTAGCAAAGTAGGTTCTATTTATATTTTGGAGATGTGGGATGAAGTTATCTTTTGGGAGAAAGAGACCAGACTGGATAAAAACCTTTTACAGTTTTACAATTAAACTATAGTGAAAGTATGTATCAACTGTAGTTAATAACTTGATTATTCCTGGTCATCATTTTTATTTTTACAATGTGAATTCAGTATAGCAGAGAATTTGGACCACAATTTGAAGTAAATAAAATTTGATATATGTGCTTTTATACATTCATAAACATTAACAGAACAAGTACAGTAATCTTACTGCAACATGTAAGGTAATATGTAAATTTAGTATGACAAAGGAAAAACCAAGTACTGAAAATCACAAGGCATTACTTTTTTTAGTTCTCGGGATGCTTTATGGGAGATTGAGTTCTGAAATAAGGAAAGAGATCAGAAAATAAAGGTGTGGTGATGCCCACTATTAATATCTAACTTTCCCTCTTTGCTATCTTGTGAAAGGCAGTCATCATTTAAGAACCTGGGGCAAGGTTAGTCTCTTGAAATTCTTTGATTCCTTTGCTTCCAGTTATCACGTATTTCCTGTATTGCCTACTTTATATCATTTGTCTATCATTGAAAAAAACTTGAAATCTAGACTTTATAGTAGGAGTATGTTACTTCTCTGAGGGTGATCTGGGACTGGGCAGAATTTCTTTCTGTTGTGTGTAAGGTCGTCATGAGCCAGAGTCTCAAAAGCAATTATCTGTATACTGTATTTTTTCCCTTATGATGCAACCAAGTATATTACACACAGGTGACTAACACACCTGTTATTTGTGTAAAAATGTGGTGTGTTAATTCTGGTGACATGTTTTGTCTGTTATAATGTCCCCATTCTTTGGTTCAGTATTTTTAAGTTGCTACTCTTCTGCTTTCCCGTGTCATCATCATGGTTTTTTGATAGTGACCTGGATTTACACATAGTCAGTCTGACTTAAATCCTGACATCGTTCTAGCACAATTAGAAATGAATGAAACAAAATTTTAACAGCAATAGCTTCAATATACCATAAGCCATAGATTAAAAAATGATTGATCAGGAGGAAATGGTGATCCCCAAAAGAGGTTCTTATGTTTTATTATGGGTTGAAATTATTTTAAATCACATCTGTGACTTTCAGAGAACAGTTTGAGTATGTGACCCAAATAGATGTTTTATTCTTTGTCACTATTCTTCAGGGACTTTTGGTGCAGCCATTCCTTGTTCCTTTATTACTATTTCATATATGTGGTTTGAGCCCCAGATTTAATTTAGTTTTGTGCCATTTTACTGTAGGATAATTTACTGGGTTTTTTTGTTTTCTTTTTTTTTTTTAAAAAAAAAACAAACTCATTGCCATCAAGTCATTTCCAATTCATAGCAACTCCTATAGAGTTTCCAAGGCTGTACATCTTTACGGGTGTACCCTGTGTCATCTTTTCTCCTATGGAGCAGCTGGTGAGATCAAAGGGCTGACCTTTTGGTTAGCAGCCCATTGCCTGAAGCACTGCACCACCAGAGTTCCTTATAATTTACTATACTGGAGTATAATTTAAATACGGCACTGAGTATATCCTACCAGAATTTGGAGACCATATACTATCTCAAGAATAGATTTGATGTGTTGAACAATAATGACTGAAGACCAGGCAGAGTAAAGTATTTTAATGAAATGTGGAAAGACCTGCAGTTAGAAAACAAGAAGGGAAGAACATGGTATTTCTCAAGCTGAAAGAACTGAAGAAAATACTCAGGTGTTGAATTGTAATATTGAAGGAGTCTGTGGGGAAAATATTGAATGACATAGGAAACATCAAAAGAAGATGAAAAGAATATACAGAGTAGAAAAAGAATTAGTGAACATTTAACTGTTTCAGAAGGTAGCATGTGATCAAAAACTCATTATATTGGAAGACCACGTCCAAGCTGCACAGATGGCATTGGTGAAAAAGAAAGCTTTAGTAATTGACAGAATACCGATTGAGGTATTTCAGCCAACAGGAGATGCTGAAAGCATACACTTGTCTCTGTGAAGAAGTTTGGAAGATAGCTATCTGGTCAACTGACTGGGAACAGCCAAACCAAATTCACTACCGTTGAGTCGATCCCAACTCATAGCAACCCCTCCTTGGGTTTCCGAGGCAGTATCTCTATGAAGATAGATTGCCCAATCTTCGTTCCAAGGAGTAGCTGATGGGTTTGAACCACCAGCCTTCTGATTAGCAGTCAAATGTCTTGGGCACTATGCCAGCAGAGCTCCCGTCTGACTGGGAAAGATCCCTATTTGTGCCCATACCATGTAAAAGTAATCCAGTAGAATGTGGGAAGTATTGAACAATACATAGGTAAGTAAAATTTTGTTGAAGGTAATTAAAAATGATAACAGGAATACATCAGTAGAGATTGCCAGAAGTTCAAGTCATATTCAGGAGAAGACATTGCTGGTGTCAGGTGGTATTTGGATGAAAGCAAAGAAAACCAGAAAGATGCTTACCTATTTTGTATTGACTGTGCAAAGGCATTTGTGTGGATTGTAATACATTATGGATAACATTGAGAAGAATGGGAATTCCAGAACACTTAATTGTACTCATATGTACATAGACCAAGAAGCAGTCGTTTGAAAAGAACAAAGAAATAACTGCATGGTTTAAGATCAGGAAGGGTGTGCACCAGGGTATTATCCTTTCACCATATTTACTTAGTCTGAAAGCTGAGCAAGTACTCCAGGAGCTGAACTATATGAAGAAGAAAGCAGCATCAGGATTGGAGGAAGATTCATGAACAACTTGTCATATACAAATGACACAGCCTTGCTTGCTGACAGTGAAAGGGACTCGAAGTACTTATTGATGAAGGTCAAAGACTACAGTGTTCAGTATAAACTACACCTCAACATAAAACAAAAATCTTTGCAACTGGACCAGTAAGCAACATCATGAAAAATGGAGAAAAGGTTGACATCGTGGAGGATTTTCTTGGATTAACAGTCATTATCCATGGAAGCGGTAAATGATATGTTGCATTGGGTGGATCTGTTGCAAAAGATCTCTTTGAAGTGTTCAAAAACAAAGATGGCACTTAGGACTAAACAGTACTTCACCTAAGCAATAGTTCCAGTTACCTCATAGCCCTGCAAGAGCTAGACAATGAATAAGGAAGACCAAAGAAGAACTGATGGCTTTCAATTATGTCATTGGTGAAGAATATTGAATATACCATGGACTGCTGGAAGAATAAATGAATCTGTCTTGGAAAAAGCACAGCTGAAGTGCTTCCTAGGAGCAAGAATAGCCAGACTTTGTCTCTCATACTTTAGTCGTGTTATCAGAAGGCTCCAGTCTCTGGAGGAGAGGATTTCATCTTAGTCAGCAAAACAAGAGGAAGACCTTAAACAAGATAGATAGACACAGTGGCTGTAAGGATGGACTCAAAAACATTATCAATGATTGTAAGGATAGCATAGGACTGGGCAGTTGTACTGTTGTACTTGGGGTTGCTGTGAGTCTGAACCAACTCAATGGCACCTAACATAATTTAAGTTTCCTTTTTGGTTTTTAAACACCTGGACCTCAGCTTCTCACGTAAGGATTGTGCTAGATGATTATACTAGCTTATTAAAGTCTGTGGTTATATTTCTTTACCAAAAAAAAATTATTTGAGGCTGAAGACCTGCTTGAGGATTTGGCATTTTTTTGCTTTCCACATTGAGAATGATAGGTTGTCTTTTTCATGGTAAAGTCATGGTAGCCTCATACATTTATACATAAGTGTCAAATATATTCAAGGCACACGAAACTGTTAACTTTTGAGAATCTACCATATTTGAAAAATCTGGAAGGGAGGGGTGATTATTCATCCTGGCTTAAGGTTTCATTATTCTCATGGTCCTGTTCTGTGTTGTGTAGAAACTTCTATTTTTTAGAATCAGTATTTTTAAAATAAATAAATAAATATGTCATAATCACTTTTCTCTCCTCCCACTTGCCCCTCAACACACACATTAATGCTAAGATTCCCTTGGGGTATGAACTTTCCAAAACCAAACCAAACTTGCTGCCATTGAGTCAATTTTGACTCATAATGACCCCCATTGGATACCCAAGGCTGTAAATCTTTATGGACGCAAACTGCCTCATCTTTCTTCTGTGGAGCAGCTGACCTTTTGAATCACTGACCTTTTGGTTAGGAGCTAAATGCCTTAACCACCAGAACTTAAACTTTCCAAAAGTACCTGAAGTTACTTGGATATCATCCACATGTGGTTGTCATTGTTAGGGAAGTTATCACATGGATGGAGAAAAAGTGGCAGTTTAACTTCTGTGGTCTTTCAGAGAGGCTCATTATTGGAACATGAAGAATGATTCCCAGAGTATGTTAATGAACTCCAGATTTAGATACGCAGCTACTAACTTTGCATTTCACATCTAGTGATTCATGTTTTGGTTTAAGGTGTACTTGGTCTCATTTTTAAACATTGAGAAATTCTACATTGTATTGATTTTATAATCTTATTTTACATTGTTAATCATAGACCTCTCTGATTTTAAGATTTTGTGTCTTAAAATAGGCTTATTTCTTTGATGGGGGAATGGGTCATAATATTTTTTAAAAAAATGTGGTTTGGGTGCAACTGTACAGAGCAGATAGTGAGCAATTATGTGTTTTGTTTCATGACATTTGCAATCCCCTCAATGTAACAGTACTTCTTACTTCATTCATCCCTGGGTTCCCTGTTCCCATTCGTCCTTCTTTCCTGTTCTTTCTTATCTTGTGGGCTTTATTTTTGGACAAGTTGGTTTTTCTTAGGAGTGTGTTCCTCATGGATGTTATTGTTCACTTTATAGG